CTTGGGAGGAGGTAAGGAGGACAGTGTGGATGTGTAAGGAGAGTGTGGATGTTTATTGGAAGGAGAAGGGCAACAATCTGCAGGGCCCTGCTGTATACTCACACCTAGCAGAAGAGGAATGAAAAAGAGAGAGAGAGCTCTAACTGCTTCCACAAAATTATTAACCCTTGTGCTCCAGCTCTGCTCCTCGAACAGCTGAAGCAAGAGAAACAATACACTTAACCAATGGAGCACCAGCCAAAGACATTACATCATCGGTCAGCACCGTCATTGGCTAATAATTCCTAGAAGGCAAAATTTTGCTTCTAGGTGCTTAACCCTTTCATGCTCATCAGAGCAAAGAGGATTTGATCTAAATCAACACTTCCTGAACTTGCTTTTATCAGAATCATCCAGGGTGCTTTTTAAACATACAGATCATCATTTTTTCATTTCAAGCCATCTAAATCAGAACCAACAAAGAGAGCATGGATAACTGTATTTTAAATAGTGTACAGAGCGTGGCAACCACTGATCAACTCAGAAAGTCTTCCTCTCCAAACAAGATAACATTTTTCTGAGCATTTTTCACGTGTCCAGCACTTTGCTACATCATCTCATTTATTTCCTGCACTGAACAATGGCTCCATATCCCAAGTATACAAAGCCAGGTTAAGAGCGGATAAGTCGCCAGGCGCGGTGGCTCACGCTTATAATCCCAGCACTTTGGGAGGCCGAGGCAGGCGGATCACCTGAGGTCGGGAGTTCGAGACCAGCCTGACCAACATGGAGAAACCCTATCTCTACTAAAAATATTAAAAAATTAGCCAGGCATGGTGGCGCACGCCTGTAATCTCAGCTACTCCGGAGGCTGAGATAGGAGAATCGCTTGAACCTGGGAGCCGGAAGTTGCGGTGAGCCAAGATCACTACATTGTACTCCAGCTTGGGCAACAAAAGCGAAACTCCATCTAAAAAAAAAGAGAGAGAGAGAGAGGATAAATACTCCTGTAATCCCAGCACTTTGGGAGGCCAAGGTGGGCGGATCACCTGAGATCAGGAGTTCAAGACCAGCCTGACCAACATGGTGAAACCCCATCTCCACTGAAAATACAAAAATTAGCCGGGCGTGGTGGCGGGTGCCTGTAATCCCAGCTACTCCAGAGGCTGAGGCAGGAGAATCACTTGAACCCAGGAGGCGGAGGTTGCAGTGAGCCAAGATCACGCCACTGCACTCCAGCCTGGGTTCGACAGAGCGAGACTCTGTTTCAAAAAAAAAAAAAAGAGAGAGAGAGAGAGGATAAGTCACTTGAGCAAGAGATGGAGCCTTGCTTTGAAAGATGGGCTGTTTGGACCTGACCCTGCTACCCTTTTGAAGCTCCCGCTCGAAGTCAAACCAAGCCATTTATTTACTTATTGCCTCTAGAGTTACAGAAAATATACACTCTTGAGTTGGAAAATGCCAGGAGCCTGGGAGGAATGGGGAAATGAAGACAATGGTGGATTATTCTCTTTCTTGGGCTCATTCCCTCTGCTTCTGTTGCAAATTCAGCTTAACCATCACTGTCTCTTGGAAGCCTTCCCCAACCACCCGCCAACCACCAAACCAGGGATAGATGCCCCTGCTCTGTGCTCTTAAGGTCTCCTGGAGTCGTGGGCTGCAGTTACTTGTTTACTGAATAAACCCCATGAGATTAGAGCTATGTCTACTTTCTCCACTAACATATACCTGGACAGCGCCTGCCACGTGCGAATACTCAATCATGACTGAAAGAAGGGAAAGTGTTTGCCAAAGTTCTAAACGGCATCACACTGAGATGGGAAAGACAAAGGATTGGAAGTCTGGAGACTCACAGCAACAAACTGATTCTGGGCAAGTTCGTTTGGACAGGGGAGAGGGGGTTGGTGTCCTTATCTAAAAATGAGGAGAATAGCACTCTCCTATGAATAGTTATAAAGATCAAATTAAAGAATGATCCAGGCTCTGATTTTCTCCTTCTCTCTCTCTCTCTCACACGCTCAAACTCTTCCATTTTATTGGCTGACATCTAAGTGCTGACAATTGCCATATTTATATCTCCAGCCCAGACTCCCCTCCTAGACTCCAGACTCACAGCCAAAGCCCGTCTCTATGTGGATGTTTTACGGGCATCTCCAAGAGAGTATTTGAATTGTATCCCCTAAGCACAACCTGCTCCTCGCCTAGTCTCTGTTATGTGAATAATCCTCCCATCCACCCAACCGGTTTTTGTTTTTTTTTAACTAGGTGAAATTTACATAACTCAAAGCTAGCCATTTTAAACTAACAATGTGTGGCATTTACTATCCTCATGATGATGTGCAAACTGTCACCTCTATCTAGGTCCAAAACATTTTCATTACTCCAAAAGGAAACCACTGAGCCATTAAGCAGTCAAGCCCCAGTCCCACTTCCCCCTCAGACCAGCACAATCACCAATCTGTTCTCTGTCTCTATGGATTTACCTCTTCTGGATGCTTCACATAAAGGGAATCATACAATATATAACCTTTGGTGTCTGGCTTTTAAAACATGCTTTCACATAGTATTTTTAAGGTTCACCCACATTGCAGCACATATTAGTACTTCACTCCTTGTTATGACTGAGTAACGTTCTATTATATGTTACACTACATTTTATTTATTCAGTCACTTACTGATGGAGCTGCCAGACTTTCAGTAGCCAACGAATCTTAAACCATAAGGCTGGCCATCACCCTTCATCCCCTCCCCCTTCCCATATTCCCTGCATTTAAAGTATCAGCAAATCCTATCCATTTTGCTTCCTAAATAGAGCTCAAATCCTTTACTTTTCTCCAACACTATTGCTGTCCTTTAGCCCAGACACCAATATATCTCTCACTGAGCTTCCAACTGTGACAAGATCTCATTCTTTCTTCTCTCTATTCCACTTCTCACCTGGTAGCTGAGATGGGCTCATTTCAAAACATAAACCAGATCATCCATTCATTTAGGCAATATTTACTAAGCACCTTTCTTCAAGGAGTTTGCCTCCCAGAGGCATAACAGACAACACACAAATATACACTATTATATCAGGTTTAAAATCCTTCAAGGATTCATTGCACTTCAGATAAAAATCTAAGCTCAGCATGGCCTCCAAGACTTCATCGCCTTCTAACTCATCTCAGGCCACTCCACACAATCTGCCCACTATGTGCTCCAACCACAGTGGGCTCCATTCCTCCACCTCATGGTCTTTGAATTTAAGCTGTTCTCTCTGCCTCTTGATCTTGGCATTGCTGGATCTTTCTCGTCCCCCACATCTCAGTGTAAATATCACTCCTTTGGGAGACCTTCCCTGACTACCCTGTTAAGCACATCCACCCTTCATTCATGTCACTCATTTAAGAAATACGTGCTAAACCCTGTGGTAGGCTCCTGGGATGAAGCAACATATGATCCCCTGGAGTCTGCAGTCTAAAGGGGAGGACCAACAATAGGAAAGTAAGTGAAATAGATAAATGACTGTTACGAAGGGAGAATAAAAAGGAGGGAGTACAGAAGGCCTTTCCGAGAAGGTTATATTGAAGCTGAAAGACAAGGAGTCAATTGGACAAAGAGCCTGTTATTCTCTATCACATCCTGGCTATGCAATGCAATGTTCCATCCCTCAACGCTTGCTTTTGATGAATCCAAGTATTTAATGTCCATCTCCTCTAACAGACTGAGCTTTCTCCCCAGCACCTACGACAGCACCTGCCCCTCAAGAGGCACTCAACACACATTGATTGATTAATTAGTGGATGAATGTATGATTAATCAATCAATCCACCAATGAAAGCACTTTGGAAAGTGTAACAAATCACAGAGTTGTGAGTGATTGTTCTCACTATTATAATTATTATTTTGTGGCAAAAGAACATCAACTCTGTTGGGTTTTGGAAGAGACTGGGTTTACTTTAAAATGAGAATAAAAGTACCTAAGTTGGAGTATTACTGGACAACTAGGAGAGAATGTATATACATAATAGACACTCAAAAATGGGAAGCAGTAGTTTTTGTGGCTGTTATTAAAAGCTCCTCACAAAAGCTGACTCAACTCAAATTCCAAAACTCATTTTCAGGTGCAGTCACGAAATTTAAAGGTGAGAGAAATGAATACTTTTAAGATAAATACTACACACCAGGTACAGTAAAAAGCACTACCTCATTTGTGAGGTAGTGTAGCGGATGCCCTGGGGAAACTCTCAACCCCCCTTCAAGACCAAGACACTCATGACTTCCCCATGTCCAGCTGCCAGAGTGTTGGTTACTCCAGCTCTCAGCTGAGTACCTAGTCAGGAGCTGGCCTGCTGAAGGGACATCCTAGCTCCCTTCCTAGGGTCAGCCTGCACCCACTGGCTGATCAACATTCAGCTTCAAAGGCCTCGTCCCTTTGTCTCATGGGATGGATTGAGGCCTCTCTTGCACTACACCATAGATCAACATCTCCCTCTGCCCAATCCTGCTTCCCTTATCTGCACATAAATCTCAAAAGTGCCAAGTCTTTCTCCAGGGAACCTGACCCATGACAGATGAGTATGACGATTTCCTTTTAAATCAGAAAAAGAAGGTTCATGAAGGTTACTAATGTCCCCAAAGCCTATGGCTAAAGTGACATTCTAGTCTGATTTCCCAGCTAGCCCTTGTTCTTTCTACTACACCAATCTACACACAGCCTTGCCTCCAATGGCTGAGACTGGGTCTCTGTGAAACAGAAAGGGGAGCCCAGGGAGAGCAGAAGGGCACACAGAGGGCCTGAAGATGAGAAAAGAAGAGCAGAGGCACCCTTCAGAGTCCTGATGACAAGACCGAGGTCACAAGGCTCCAGAAACAATATCAAACTGATGTGCAGGCTGCAGAAGCAAGCATTACACAGACAGCATCTCTTCGCCTGAATCCATGTCCAGAAGCCAGGGAGCAGGGCTCCCGGGCACAGGGGGCTCCCTTAGGCGGGGAAGAGCATTTGCAGCCAAGGTCCAAAAAGTGCTACAACTTACCAGCTTTCTGATGCTCCGGTCTCCATCCGTTGTCCCCAGAGCTGCCAGAGAGACCTGATCACTGATCAGAAATCTTCCACGGCCCTCCTTCATTCCAGGATAAAATTCTAAATATTCTAAGGCTGCACTTTAAGGTCTGTGCATGTTTTAGCTCCCTGCCATGTCGACAACTTATTTCCTACCTATAACAAGACCCGGTCCTACTCCATTATCTGCTGTAGAATTATCTGATGTTCTAGGTCAGGACACCGGACCTTTTCAGTTTCTTTACCTTTACACAAGAAAATCCACCTGGAATTCCTGCTCCCCATCAACTCCGAACCCCAACACACTTTTCAGCCAGGCAAAACCTCCGACTTCTAGTCAATGGTCACCTACTCTCTGAAGCCTTCCTGGCTTCCTCACCGTCCTCTTCTCCATCTCGAGTCTTCCGCGCTACCCTGCACTGCAATTGCTCCTCCTACTGTCCCTCTTAGCCCCAGGAGCTCCCCAAGGCCATTCTTCATGCTGCTAGGGCTTGGCACCGTGCCTGGCACTCAGAAAGAGCCAAGTAAGTGCTGGATAGATACACGAGGTGCTGTATCCAGAGCTATTCTCTGCTTCTAGCTTGGCCAGGGAACCACTCTGAGATTTCGTCCTGCCCCCAGGCTGACTGGAAATTGGCCACAGCGTGACAAATCTGACCCCCCAAACCCAAGGCAACAGATCATGAGGGGTCTGGGGACCTAAGGCAGGTCCTAGGAGCCGGCGCAGAGCAGAGGTCCAGCCGCTGCGGTTCCTTGGTTTCCCGCAAGCTCTTCCCCGGGCCGGGCGCTGGGTGGAGGCAGTCTTAGGATCCACAGTCTTGCGCGCCCCCGGCTCCCGGGCCCGGCAGACGGCCCCCGCACGCCGATCTGTCTGTCCCGGGGACCGGCCCAGGGCCCCGGCAGCGGCAGCCTGGGGAGACACCGTGGAGCGCGGCTCCCTGCCTCCCTACCTGCCCCTGCGTGCGCCCGCATCCCGCGGACACAGAGCCGGAGCTCCAGGGGACGCAGCCCGACGCGAGAACGCACCAGCAGCCCCCGCTCGGGGTGGGGTCTCCCGGCTGTCAGAACCCTACAAAGTCTACTTTGCGGCGGCGCGCCGCTTACCGTGCGAGCCGCCAGGAACTCGGCGCCCGGTGGTGCCTCGGCGCGGCGCCCGCCAGTAGATCCGCTCCGGGTCCCGGGAGCTCAGCCTCTGCCCCTCACCGCGCGCGAGCGCCCCCGCCCGGCGGCCCGGCCTCCCCGCGCCGCGGCGCCCCATTGGCTCGGGCAAAGAGGCCCCCGGACGGCCCCGCCCACCCGCGCCCACTCCCTCGCCCACGCCTCTCCCCTCCGCCCTGCCGGGTTCACCTCTCCAGGCTGGGAAAGTTGCTTCTAGACTCTGAGCTCTCACCGGGCTGAGGAGCCCAGTTAACTAATAATTCTGGGTCTCAGGAGTTGTCTAGACGCCCCTCGGGGAGTACGAAGACTGCAGTGTCCTTGGAATCCACCTTCGGGAAAGTCAGCTGACCTCCCGGACCTCAAGTGGCACCTCAGAGAAACCAGGGCCCCTGGTCAGCAAACGTCCCAGACTGTGGGCTAGGTCCTAGGGCCAGAATGCAACAGGGAGCAAGACAAAGTCTATCGTCCTCGTGGACTTTGCATGGGGTGGGGGAAGGGGTAGGTTATATACAACAAACGAAAAAAACAAGAGAATGTCGGCCGGGCGCCTGTGGCTCACGCCTATAATTCCAGCACTTTGGGAGGCCGGGGCTAGTGGATCACGAGGTCAGGAGTTCCAGACCAGCCTGGCCAAGATAATAAAACCCCGTCTCTACTAAAAATATAAAAATTAGCTGGGCATGGTGGTGCGCGCCTGTAGTCCCAGCTGCTCGGGAGACTAAGGCAGAATTGCTTGGACCCGGAGGCAGAGGTTACGGTGAGCCGAGATAGCGCCACTGCACTCCAGCCTGGACAACAGAGCTAGATGCCGTCTCCGGAAAGAGAGAGAAAGAAAGAGAGAAAAGAAAAGAAAGAGATCTAGGACTGCTATACCCAGGGTAGTCTCTGGGACACTTGTGATATTTGATAGTTGGAGGACAAAAACGATTCCAGGGCTGAAGCAAGAGCATTGCTGACAGAGGGGTCGGCAGATGTATGGTTCTGAAGCTGGAACTGGTCCCCAGGATGGTTGAGTGAGGTGAGCAAGGGGAGAGTGGGTTATGGCCAGAGAGGTAGACTAGTGTGGAATCACCATCACCCAGAACCTTGTAGGCCACCGTGAGGATCAGGGATTCATCATATCAATCTGGAGGGAACAATTCAGGCAAGAGATTATGGTGATGAAGACCAGGGTGGTGACAGCAAGATGGGGAAAAGGTGGAGCCACTAAAATGTGTGTCAAAAGTAGCACAGGAAGGCTTGATGATGGATTAGGCTGGATTTAGGGGATGGTGTGGTTTGAATGTGACCCCCAAAGTTCATATGTTGGAAACTTAATCCCCAATGCAACAGTGTTGAGAGGTGGGACCTTTAAGAGGTGATTCCATTAATGCCAGGAGTGGTGAGAGGTAGTTGAGGTAGTTGAGAGGTAGGTGAGAGGTAGTTGAGGTAGTTGAGTGTTGAGAGGTAGGACGAGGTAGTTGAGAGGTAGGTGAGAGGTAGTTGAGTGTTGAGAGGTAGGACCTTTAAGAGGTGATTCCATTAATGCCAGGAGTGGTCCTCTCCCCACTCCTCTGCTGCTCTCTTGTTCTGCCTTGTGATGCCTGGGATGACTCAGCATGAAGGCCCTTACCAGATGCAGCCCCTCAATCTTGGACTTCCCAGCCTCCAGAGCCATAAGCCAAATAAATTGTTGTTCCTTATAAATTACCCAGTCTGTGATATTCTGTTATAGTGGCACAAAATAGACTATGACAGGGGTTGACATAAAGGAATGAAAGAAGAAAATCTCCTAGGTGTTTAACTTGAGCCACTGTGGAGTAATGGTACTATTACCAAGATCAGAAAGGTTCTCACCCAGCGTCTTCCACTTACTGCATGAGCTTTAGTACATGATCTCAGTAACTAAGAGGGAGTGACTCTAACCTCAGTAACTAAAAGGGCATAAGACTAGCTGAAGGATCCCAAACTTTAATACTGATGTGGCTGGGTAGTCATGTACTAAGTGAGGTTGGCAGGGTGTAATAGAAAGGAGGGGTGGGGCTTGTGACAGACTGAGGTATGCACACCTGCCTAAGGGTACAGTCACTGCTCAGTTCCAACTGATTTTTGCCAAATGGGAATGGAGACCCAGAGTTGCCAGATGTTCTGTTTTTTGTTTGTTTGTTTGTTTTTTATCAAGACTGAGTCTTGCTCTGTCACCCAGGCTAGAGTGCAGTGGCACCATCTCGGCTCACTGAAACCTCTGCCTCCTGGGTTCAAGCAATTCTCCTGCCTCAGGCTCCAGAGTAGCTGGGATTACAGGCACCCACCACCACGCCTGCCTAAGTTTTGTATGTTTAGTAGAGACGGGGTTTCACTATACTGGCCGGACTGGTCTGGAACTCCTGACCTCATGATCCACCCGCCTTGACCTCCCAAAGTGCTGGGATTATAGGCATGAGCCACTGTGCCAGACCTTGATTTTTATAATGAGGCGAGAAATTCAGATTGTGTTAAAGCTCTAGTTTTTTAAATGCTGGTAATTAACTAAAACTTTTTTTTTTTTTTTTTGAGACAGAGTCTTGTTCTGTCACCCAGGCTGAAATGCAGTGGCGCGATCTCGGCTCACTGCAAGTGCCGCCTCCCGGGGTTCACACCATTCTCCTGCCTCAGCCTCCCGAGTAGCTGGGACTACAGACGCCCACCACCACACCCAGCTAATTTCTTTGTATTTTTAGTAGTTTCACCTACTAAAATCACTAACGGGGTTTCACCGCGTTAGCCAGGATGGTCTCGATTTCCTGACCTCATGATCTGCCCGCCTCGGCCTCCCAAAGTGCTGGGATTACAGGCGTAAGCCACCGTGCACGGCCAATTAACTAAAACTTTTTAAAAGACTGTATTGGCCAAGACTGTTGGACAAGATCAAACCCATGTATAGTCTGGATTTATCCCCTTAGTAACTATTTCCACCTCTGGATTAGACAATACCATCAGCCCTTTAAAGAAACCCTCATAGTGTCTGTCCAGATTGGATGAGAACAATAATGGGAAACAAGAGGATCAAACCCAGCATAGTCTTTAATGGCATTTGACCCGCCCCTACCTCCATCTACCTGGCATATATCTTCTAAGCCTCAGTTTCCCTCAGGCTAGAGCACAGCTCCTCCAAGACTTCTCCCAACTATAACCTTTGGAGCTGTAACATCATCGTAATTTTTCTTAACTACTGGTTTTCAAATATGCACAGGAATGTTGCTTGGGGAAACATGGAAGGTGTGTGCTCATGTCTGGGTCTGAAAATCTAAAAGTCCTCAGTACTGTCAATCTGAAGCAAGGAAGGAAAGAGGAAGCAGAATGAGATAGAGGTTTATATGAGAAGCCAGGCAAATTTATTGCATGGAAAATTATTTTTTATTGCACTCTGAATAAGAAAAAACGGCAATTAGATGCAGGGGCGCTTAATGGTTTCTACTGAAAATTCAATGTATTGTAGCCACTTCTCAATATATATCACCAACGGTTTTGCAGTAATGAGTTTCTCCCATCATGCATTGGAGGTCAGCTGCATTCTAGCGTTATTTATTCTTACGTACTGAGCTCATGTAATGAAAAATGCCTGAAAACAGAAAATCACCTTCTGTAGAGTCAGTCCCTTTTGCTCCTATCTCCTCCACCTTAGACATCATTTAAAGCTGGAGAAATGGCTTATGATTTTATAAATTGCTGAGTTTTGTGTAAGAGGGTCAACATGGATTAGGAACCAGGAGACCTGACACTGAGCCCTTGAATAAGTTCTCTGAACCTTCTTCATCAGTAGAATGAGAGCTGACAAAAGGTAGCTTCCTAGAAGATTTTTAAATTTCTATTTGTACTCCATGTTTCTTTTGGGGGAATATTTTTTTTTTTTTTTTTTTTTGGTATGGTGACCTGGCAATTCCCAGAGACAGATTCTTTCACAATTTGCCACTCCCCAACTCCCCCAAAAATCCTTGAAGAAAGGATGTCGTCTAAGTTGAGCCAATTGGATGCTCACTCCTAGGACTTTCCCTCTCCCAAAAGTGACAAAGATGAAGAGAGAAATTGGACATAAGACTGCTTGCTTACAATGATGGTGGTGGCAGCAGTTTCCTGGACTCTTGGTCGTGAATCTTGTCGCCCAACCTCAAGAATTTCCTAGATTTCTGTTTCTCAAGTCTGGTCCTGCCATCCCTGTCCCCTACCCAATCTTATTTTGTGAGTCTCCCATCTCTGTTAAACTGTCTTCTTGTGTTAGCCACTCCAATTATTTCTCTTGCTTTTAACCAAAAATCCTCATGGATCTAGGAAGACAAGAAACACATTGCATCATATGATCGTTTCCCCAGGGCAGCAATTCAGCGCAGGAATTTGCATACAGATGGATGCACACAGGGTGATAGGTATACACGTTCCCTCACTACTCAGTAAGAAATCCAACCCCGTGGGGTGGTGGTGGTAGTGTTTAAAAGGTTATTTGTTTTTTAAAAGAACCCAAGTCTGCTATTCTTAACAGACTTTTTTTTTTTTTTAAGTGAGCAGGCTCTTATAATAACAAAACCACTCTAGAAATAGCCCTCTCGTATGTAA